ACATATGTTTCATATGTTTGTTGTTGTTTGATTTATCATCTACGGGTTTATGTCGAATTAATTTGATGGCCTGCTCCCAGTTGGCTTGTTAGCTCAATTGGTAGAGCGCTGCACTAGTATCGCAGAGGTCAGTGGTTCGAATCCCGTACAGGCCTGAATTTCTTTCAGGTCTGATTTTCACTATTGCTTAAATAGTGCTTTACTGCGAAGGATCGTGCACATATACGTTTCACAACCGCAGTTCATATATATGTATTTCATATGTTTGTTGTTTAAGAAAAATTGTGTCTATCCTTGCCTTAAGAGCGACGTAAACAGTGCTACTTCTCATGTGATTTCTCGCAAAAAGTAATAGGCTGTGCCTCCAATTTGTTTTGATCGCTATCTTTGCCTGAGAACCTGGCCTTCTATGGCGATATAACTGGTGAAGTGAACTGCGGGCCTAAGTTTTCCAAAATTTTGTCAAGTACGAAGCGTTGTTTTTTTCTCCTACTTGATGCATTATTCGAACAGCTTTCCACATACTTCTTTTGAAATTTTGGTTCTCTTCTTCTTGGTAATGTCATAGAAAGCACGTTATTTTTGATCATTTAGTTCTGCATCATTTTCGCATTGCTTATCGGCGAAGTGCAATTAAAGACTTGATTGAGCAAACCAAACAAAACAGGAATGTGCCGCGGCACCCACAAGAATGTGAAATACATAGACACAAGAGATATTAAGTGTAAAAGTAAATTATTACTTGGACAAGGGTTTTCGTTGCACGCTCTTGTTTCATCACTCTCCCCAGGACATGGCTTTCCTCCGAACTGCGCAGGGGGATTGGTGCAGGTTCTCGTTCTCTCTTGCATGCCTCCTCCACACGTCACAGGGCAATCACTCCATTTATCCCAGTCAGACCAATTGCCGTCAACTGAAAATTCAAAGTCTACCTTAGCTCCGTGGACAGTGTGGGGAAGTGAGGAATCCTTGCTGTAGCCTTATACACCCTAACATCAGTTTACCATACTATTCTCTCTTCATTTTAAAAAGAACTGATGGGGAGAATTTTTTGAAAATAGAGATCTACTTTTGTTGGCGACGATTTGTTTTATAATTTACTTGTTTCAATGAAAAGAGATTTCTTAAGACATAAAACTGTAAAAACGAACTATAAAATCCGACGTTTCGGAGTAGTCATGACTCCATTATCAAGGAAAATACAAAAGATCATGCAAACTGAAACATATAAAGCGTTTTTGGCGCGAAGAATTAACACAAGAGGGTGCGAAGATCATAAAAACATTATAAAAATACTTTCGCACGAATGAAGTCTGATTGCACGTTGAGATTTTGGCTTTAACGCTCTTATAGAAAGCATTTCGTACACTAAGCAGTCACGCCATCTAGACCGGCATCTAGACCAGTCTAGAAAAAAAAAGGTACAAAGAATATAAATTATTGGCATATAGGACACAGCCATAAAATAAACATCTTATCAACCGAGCTACCTAGGTCGCTGGTACAGACCGAACGCAGTGAGGTCTGTACTGGCGGCCACGGTCAAGATTCTCCCATACAGACCTCCCGCTCGGTTAATAAGAAGTAACTAATTGTTCATTTACATAATCATCGCACAAAAGCATTACATATCGACGTTCCTATGCTATTAGTACGCATGAAGTTTGCCAACATCATTATGGATCTAGTTACACAGCCACGAGCCTCTTATAGCTCATTGGTAGAGCATCCGAAGTACTAGTTCGAAAGTCGTTGGTTCGACTTCTATTGATACCACTCGGAGTTCTTTTTCGCTGAGTATGCCTTTATAAGTTATGAAAAGCGTCATCTTTCACCCTAGTATCAGAAAAGTAATTTCACCTGGGCATTTTCCTTTTCTTATATCTGTTGCAATCTCATTTAAGGCTGCAAAGGTCTCTGCCAAAAAGACACCGGTATCGTCCGAAGCCAGAGTCACCAAATCCACTAGATCGATGCCTTTTCCGATTCCAATTGACATAACTTCTACGCCTTTGTCCTTCACTGGCTGAACTGCAGCGTCTAAAATCTCTGAACTCGATTTTAGACCGTCGCCTGGAACTGTTTGTGCACCATCAGTCATAACGATAGCTACCTGGAATTACACAAAGCTAAGTTCACTTTTAATATAATTATCATGGCAGTATTATAACATTAACCATGCAGCTGACAAAACAGTTCAAATAGGCAAACTGACCGACTGCTCATCTTCTGTATTTCACTCCTGTTATCAAAGAAGTTGAACATGGAGTCAAGAAAAGTTAGCTTATTAGAAGAGACAATTTCTAACTCTGCAATTAAAAAGTTTTTATGAAATCATGATAGTGACAAAGTGTTGAGATTCCATAGAGAAACCAGAGATTCAACGTCCTAATTAAATTAGTGTCTTCAATTGTGCCAGTCATTAGTATAGATCTACTGTTGCTCTATCACAAATGCCGGCATCTGATTGGCTACACTGTACGCTATCTATTCTGTGAAAGAAAGCGAATAGAGCCTATCAGAGTACTATCTTGTTGCGTGAAGTTTTGAGCGAGTAGAAGATTTATCCTTCAGCAATTACTTTATTCATTCTCGATTTCTATGCATGATATTTTATTTTGGCCTCACCGTCATCAAATATCATGTCATAGAAATCGAGAGTTCGCAATCTAGGTGTAAATTGGTTCGTCGAGAAAACGGGGATTCTTCTTGGACTGTAAAATTCGATCTAAATCCCTGAGGCTGCGATTTGAAAGCACACTTATTTCTACTGAGAATCGAATTAAATTAAAAAAATAAAATAGACCAAAGACGTTTACCTTAGACACGTTCTGCCTCATTCCCCCTTTGGTAGAGAGGACTTCGCTGTTGGCCAATGCCAAAGCCTTGTCGATATATGTATATCCTCGAGTATGTGGAATTTTATCAATACGCCGCTTCACGTTAGCTGCGTTCAGGAACGCACCACTGTAATCATTAAACTTTAGCTGGACTGACGCCTCTGTACTGTACTCGACTAGAGCCACGTGAGTACCACTCTCAGATATGTCGAACTCGTCCACTAGCCGCTTGAGGAAAACTTTAAATCGGACAAAGTTTCTCCTGCTTATGCTGCCTACATGGAGATAAGGAAAATATAAGTGAGCTTCGGTTATGGCACAAATTATTTTATAGCACAACCAAAGTAAAGCGCGCGCTCTGATTGGTCAATTTAGCGTCCTCAATTTGCCCATGGGTGTACGCTGCTGAAGTGAGTAAATGCAAAGACTATTTTTCCGCGCGCGCTTGTTTTTTCTGGTCACGTAAGATTTGTTAAATGAAAGGGAACTCTTTAGCTACAATGTATCAATGTTATGTTATAAAACAAATGGTAAACACCACAGCGTACACTATTGAGTTATGGATGCACTTGGGAGGTTTGATAAGCACTCAAGAAGCTAGAGTCGCTCTCGGCTATCGCCTCGAGCGACTCTTACGCTACTTTCGTGCTTAGCAACCTCCCGCGCACATCCATAACTCAATAGTATACGCTGTGGTGTTTACCATTTGTGAATTGTTTTTTCTAGTCCCAAAGGGAGACGAAGCAAAATGAAAATTTTAGATGAAGGGTCTGAAATCAGATAATCACGACTCCACGCGGCTACAGAAATTCATAGGGCTATCTGGGGTAGTACCCCTCTCCCCCTTCGCTACCTCGACCTCCTTCCCTCCTTCCCAATAGAGAATACCATTTTCTGAAAATTTACCAGCTGTGTAAGGAGAATTATTCAACGCAAAGAGAAGCAATGCACTTACCTGATGCATCAATGAGTAAGACGAGATCCACAGGCTTGGGGCAACCCTCTGAAACATTTAAGAAGAAATTTATATCATGTCACTGAGTCAATGATACCAGTTATCCACGATCAAAAATTTGTTGATCTGTTGTGAGCAATGGTTCATGAGGTTTTTTGTTATTCATCAACAGGCTTACACTTTCAATAAAAAAAGACGAATTGGATGAAACCCTTCATAAGACAACCAGCGGTCATACAGGCTTTCATTAAGCGGGGGCGAGCCGCGAAACATGTACTCTAACAATGGCGTTCGCGAAAACAGCAGAAACGCAAATCATGCTGTTTCCCTGACAACAGCAACCCCTACATCGGCTTTGCTTTTTTGGCACTTCTCCATCACTGTGTGCCCGGCGCAGGTTTGTTTTCCTCTCGAAAAAGCAAAAACGAACTGAGACGAGACACGGACGAGACAGACTATGATGTGACTCGACCCAGCCCCTTCTCATACCACATACCATATTCTGGGCCGCGTTTCCGCCATTCCCTGCCTAGCCATGCTATATAAAAATGAAAATTGGAAAATTGGAAAAAAAAAAAAAACAGCAAAAAAAAGGAAAGCCTAGTGCTTACCAAGAACCTCAGCCTTCGTACACGTCAGCTGGCATGCACCCTGTCGAGATGGACAACACCTTCGGCCCTCCGAGCATTCGTCATCTGATTCACAAAAGTGCTCTGTCCTTGGTGAGCAGACTGCGTTGTATGTAGTCACTTTAGGACAACGCAAGGCCTCTACAAGAAATAAATTTGAAAGGGCACTCGTACAACACGTATATCAAAGGAACAGTATTAATTTTTTTTTCTTTAACCCTTTACAACCTAAAATCAATATGCATATTCTCCATACTCTTCGCTATACATTTCCTAAGGTGCTGACAAGGAGAATTTGTTTGACAATCAAGAGCTTCTTGAGTTGGTGCTCATTACCTTTATTCTCGCGACCTTAATGTGCGATGCAGGGGTGATATTGTAAGCGGAAATTACATACTACTACGCTCTGTTATGGTTTAATTTTTTATCTGCTTTCTTTTGTATCACATTTGTGATAAGCCGTTAAAGTGACGTTGTCGGTTGTAAAATGACCTGTGGCCTAGGAAAATCAAGCCACAGAAAAAGAGAAAAAATAATAATAACAAGAAACTAATACGGGTAAGCAAAAGATCGTGTTGCTTATCAGTATTCTTAAGTTATGTTTTAGTATTAGGTTACATAAGCCATTTCCCTTTTTTTCTTTTCTATCGTTTAACTTTAGTTCGAACCACGCTCACATTAGTCTACGGTTGTCACGAGGAGTGTTGCGTGACGACCCTAAGAACGACTGTGTAGCAGACTACGCGCGCTCACATCCACAACTTCAATTTTGTCATCCGTTCGCTATACTGTTTTGATTCGCCGCTTTTTCTAATAAATACTCTGATTATTCAACCCTTCAACGTTTGTTCAATTGGTCGAGCTCCTGGGGTTAAATTTTCACCACAGTCTACGCGCGGCTTTGCCCTGAAAGGTTACATTCACAAATGGTTTCACAACATGGTGTGTAATCCAGCTGTCAAGGAAACTCTCCTGACAAGTCCAAGCTCCAGACAATCGATTCTGCCCGAGAAACTTTAATACTAAAACATAATGGAACATTTGATTCGCTTAATATATTTGTTTTACGTTGGGAAGAAAGAGCTAAGCAAACGTAATTAACATCAAATCAATACAGTTATCCTATTTTAGTTGATGGCAATATGTTCTCCTTGACAGTTGTCTTTTGTAATGTTATCTTTACCTACATTGCTTAAAGCGCCACGCAACGCATCTTCCATGTGTATGTCATGTCTCTTCGATTAAATCTCGTTTTAGCTTTAAAGTAGACCCATTTAAGGCTCCATAGGGCTCTACTGTTGAAATATTCCGTAATAAATTACAGAAGTGCCAAATTCAGAATTCAAGATTTCCGTAAGGATCTTCGTTTTCGTAGTGCGTCTCACGAACATAACGAATTTGTTAATGGGTCTTCGTTTTCGTTATGGGTCTTCGTTTTCGTAATAGATCTTCGTTTTCGTAATGGGTCTTCGTTTTCGTAATGGGTCTTCGTTTTTTGTAGGGGGTCTTCGTTTTGGTTGGGGGTCTTCGTTTTCGGAGTCTTCGCGGTTTTGGTAGGGGGTCTTCGTTTTCGGGGTCTTCGTTTTGGTAGGGGGTCTTCGTTTTCGGGGTCTTCGTTTTGGTAACTACCCGTGATCAGTGTATCGTGCAATAAGAAAACTGTTAAGAAAAGGTACCTGAGTATTTGAGGTAATTGTCCTGTTAGACCACAACTTTACATTTCTTTCCCCTTTACTTATACTTCTCCCACCAAAAAATTGACTATATAAAGACGTTCGTAATTAACTTTCAGCCTGGGTATGTTCTTAGTGTGTTCTTAAAACATTAGTTAAATCACATATGATGCACGATCCTCGCAGTAGACAGCGCTATTTATGCAATAGCGAAAATTAGACCTGAAAAAAATCAGGCCTGTACGGGATTCGAACCACTGACCTCTGCGATACGAGTGCAGCGCTCTACCAATTGAGCTAACAAGCCAACTGGGAGCTGTTAAGTTGATTCGTAATAAACCCGTGATGATAAATCAGATACAATGAATATCCCAGTTGGCTTGTTAGCTCAATTGGTAGAGCGCTGCACT